ATCTGAAGTCAAATATTCTCCCGATTCATCAAATTCTACAAGTGAAGGCTGAATATTATCACGGAGTGACATTCTATACTTACAGACTTCAACGCACTGACGGGAGTGAATTTACTTGCCAAGAGAATGACTTCATCATGCTTAAACCCGACGACATCTATCAAATGTTCATGGCCTATAGATACCTTCCAGTCAGGCAGAGCAAAACATACAGCGAAGGTCTTGCAGCAATCAAGAGATTCATGCTCAGATAGATCATAGTACATTCTTCACATGACCTACAGATGGCTATTGAGTGCAACTTGACAAAGACAAATCTGACAAAGCCATGACTGTATGGTCCAGAACTCGAAGACTTCCCAGCTTACCACATCTTCTTCACACCGCCAGCAGTCACTTATCTGAACCACAAGAACGAAAAACGTCTGATGGTAGTCAATGAAATTGAGAAATACTGTGACGGAACGCTGAAGATAATCAAAGAACATCTTCTAAAGATGAAGGCAGAGCTAGAGGAAATTCTTCAAGAGGCATCGTCTTATGTTCAAAAGGAACACTCTACAGTAGAGACAATTTTAAAGGCCATTGACGATCGCCTAGAAAAGAGAAATATGCTGAGGCAATATGAACATGCACTAAATATGAGGAAGCACTACTTCAAGTCGCAGAAGCAATAACAGAGTGGCACTTGATCACAAAGGGGGAGATTGTTGGAGATATTTTAATTGTGAATCAAGTTTGTCATAGATTAGCTTTATTATTAATCCTTGTATTTAATTAGTGCATGAATTAGATAGCACTTGGGCCAAGTGTTAGGCCCATATAACCAGGCTAAAAGCCTTGTACGCCTAACCTAAACCTAGCCTATAAAAAGGGAGCCGAGGGTTTAGGATTAGGTTAACGTCGTACTTATTCTCTAAAGCCTTACGCGCATATCTTTCTGTTGTACGAGTTCACGGTCTATCAAAGAGGGTTTTACATTGATTCAATCGGTGTTCATCCTTACGTTTAATCTTCGTTGTTGGATCGTTATTCATTGTTGTTACAGAAACAGGGACTATCAAGTTCAGTAACTTGGTGGCAGTAACAATGTTCTTCTACTAACCTTCTCTCATTACCTTATCTTCTTTCCACAAAATAGGCGTACATTCATGCGATATAATGATAACTCAATTAATGCAGTTATAGGCAAATATTATGCACTCTTCATGAAGTTATTGAAAATTTCTATCATTTTCACTGTTGTGGAGCCATACATGTATCCTCTTCATGGTGTAAAGACTAGCTAAAGACCACTTCTCAAGAGCTATTTTCCTTAGATATTTTCGTGCATGTTCCTGTAGTACACCTATTTTTTTAAAGCCACCATCAATTTTTTTATGTTGGCTTGTCCAGACAAATAGATTCTTTAGGTGAATGTATATGAATTGAGTATGCAAATTGGAAGCGGCATAACCAATGCAAAGTTTATGTCGTGCATACGGTTCCTCTCATCCACTACCTACCTCATTCAGTGCCTTTGAAATACGAGCATGTTAGTCTCAAATAACACTCCCATTCTTTACGTGTGATAAAATGACGTGTGCATGCCATAAACCATGATCAATTGTCTCCATTATCTTCTTCACTAATAAATCATGTCTTAAATACTACCCCCTGCACATTATAGATGTGGATACATTACCTAAGACTGCTATTAAGATCCTAGAGAGCAAAATGGCTCACTTCCTATGGCGATCTAGGGATGGTAAACCCAAATATCATTGGCTAAAGTGGAAAGACATACCAGGTTATCTACTCGGTGAGTACTCGGCGAGTACTCGCAACTCGGGTACTGACCTTATTGAGTAGCTACCTAACTCGGTCCATGTTTTATTTCCGAGTTACTCGGTGAGTTTCTCAACTTGGTGAAGTTTTCAACTCGGCGAGTTACTCTGTTTAACTCCCCCCCCCCCTTTAAAAAATTGAAAAATTAAGTTACAAAACCTAGATTGAACAGAATTTCTGACATCTATTATCCCCTATAGTTATGACTACAATTTCTCAATAAGTTGTCATCTTTTTTCTCTTATCTTCCCCTCTCTCCTCTCTCATTTCTTCTTTTTCCACCCTCTAGCTTTCAGTTGATTTTTATTTTAAAGTATCAACACACATATATTTTGATATAAATAAATTCTTTTCACTAGTATGACTATATATATTATACTACAAAATATTTTTAATTAATATCACTATATTGATTGTTTACTGTGTACAATGGCACATCATTGATCGATACACACTGTCACACATCATCTAATTGACAATCATGAGCTCTGCTTAGTCTGTTGAGGCTTCTAATGCGGCCGAATATGCTAATATTACACTTAAGAGAAAATTAGATGATATAGGATGGACATGGGGTCATGCGGAGAGAACATAGATCTTACGAAATTATTAGATGATTGATTTTCTTGAAAATTTAAAATGTTTATGACTTTTGCTACTCCAATATTAGCATTTCTATCATTTTATTCATTTCTATGCATTTTATGATAATTTTAAGACTGTTATATTTTTATACTCTCTGGCACTTATGTTATTAAATTTAATTGATACAAGGCCGAGTAATCACCGAGCAATCCCAAGTAATCAGTCCTACTCGCTACCTAGAAGATATAGCTCTGCCTACTTAAGAAGGGCGTCTTGGTGTTCACTCAATGATAGAGATTAAGAAAGCTTTCTCTCTCAAATTATGGTGGAAATGGAAATGTAATGACTCTTATGAGCTTCTTTATGTCATTCCAGATATTCTAGAGATTTCGATATGGTTCTAATATTTGGAAAAGCATGTGTGTCATCCATGATATCGGAATGTCACTCATCTCTATTGATTCTATTGCAAATCTCAAATCTTCTCATTTAAGCATTCCTAGCTCAAACATCAATTTATTAAGATTCAATTGTCATGATCTGGTGGTTAAGATTCATTTAAACAAATCTCATGTGTATATTGTTATGAATTAATAAGAGTGGAGGCAACTGGAATGTGGCTAGAGTTTCTGCTTTGTTCTCGGAGGAAGAAAGAAAAAAATATTCTAAGCATTCCTTTGAGCAAGAGACGTGTTGAAGATAGAATATGGTGGAAGGCAGATCCAAGAGGCGTTTATACGGTGAAGAGCGGATATAGGGCGTTAAGGGGAGAATATCAGACCACGGACTGGGTGGGATGGACAAAGATGTGGAATTTAAACATTCCTCCAAAATTAAAATGCTTTTCTTGGCAGGTGATGTCGGGCATCCTTCCGACCTCGGTTAATCTCCACAAAAGGCGTGTTGATATTGACGGCCATTGCAGGGTGTGCGAAGAAGAAGCAGAAACTGAATTGCATTTGTTTCGGGATTGAGGGGTGGCTCAAGCAGTCTGGCAGCACCTGGGGACTAATTTCCTGAGGCATGGAGAAACCTTTAAGGAGTGGGTGAAGAGCTTTTTTGATAACTTGCAGCAGGAGGCGCTTGGCCAATTTATAGTCACTCTGTGGAGCCTGTGGAAAGCTAGGAACGGGAAGACGTGGAAAAATAAATCGGTGGGCTGGCGGCAGATTATGGAAGAGGGAAGGAGCATGCTGAGTAACTGGCTGGAGGCACACTGGAAGGAGACAGACAGCAGCCCAGGGAGCTGGTTCCGCGCTGGAGAAGGCCGTCAGCGGGCTGCATCAAAGTAAACGTCGACACAGCTCTAGAGGTGGGACGGGACAAACGGGCTTGGGCCTGGATAGCCAGAGATGATCATGGGGAGTTCCTAGCAGGGGCAGCAGGACAGTACAAGCAAGTTGGACGGCGGCGATATCGGAAGCTATAGGAGTTCGGGAAGCGCTTACATGGATCAAAGAACAACGTTGGGAGCGAGTAAAGGTGGAAACGGATTCCTTAATGATAGCTTCAGGTATCGTTGATCGAGAAGGAGATTCTTACTTTGACACAATTCTTGAAGATATTAGATACATTCTTCGCAATGAAGCTAGTTTAGAAGTCATACATTGTAAAAGATTCGCGAACAGGGCAGCTCATTTGATGGCAAGAGCTGCTCTTTCAATGCCGGATAGTTATTTTATTTATGATTCTCCACCGGATGAAATTGTACTCCAATTGAAGAACGACAAGTTGAATTAATATGTCAGTTTTCCTTTCAAAACAAAAATATCTCATGTGTATTTGTTAATGGTGATATGTAATCAGATAAATATATATTTATAATGTGCTACAAAACTCTTTTCAAAGTAACTCATATATCAAAATCAAATCAAATTAAAACAATAAATCATTCACATGAACGAATTATATACTCCGTATATTCAAGCATACAAACGATATTATCAACTTATATATTTGATAATATCAAATAGAAATCGAATAATCCCAAAAAATTGCAATTTCAAACTAAATTAAAAAAACATAGGTTAGCAAAAATGATGAAATACCTTGATTCAAATGGATGAAACTCAGTAGAATGGAGCACAAACGATCTCTAATTACACCGTGCCACTTTTTCTCTTGATTTCACGATTGTTTGGGATGATTTCCGACCGAAAATGACTTTTTCCACTGTTCCTTGTTGCAGTTGTTGCGGGTTAGGATGATTTCTTCTCCATGGTTCACCGTTGGCAAGACTGCAGGTGATGATATTTCGTCAACGAACAACCACTTGGACTGACGGCTTATAGAACCGCCACTTGGACTGGTGACTTGTAGAACTGCCACTTGGAGTGACAGTATTTCTTAACCACTTCATCTCATCAGTATTTTATGAATTATTTTTAACACAACAATATTTCAAAAATTATTTATTTAATTGGCATTAATCCAAAAAAAAAAAAACTCTACATCACTATACATATTTGTTTTTAAGTTTAAAATGCTTAATCAATTTAAATATTTGTCTCAAAATAATAATTTCAACTTTTTTAAGCAAAAAGAGAAAGCACTCCTTGCTCCCTATAGCCGAAGACCCATGCTTCATCGGTATCGTCTCTACTCAAATAATTCACCTCTTCTTGAATTTATATGGAAGACAAGATCCAAACAGCCACATCCTGTAATTGCTGCCGTGCACGTTCGGCCATCTTGCTGTGACGGGAATCGCCGGCCCCGGAGATCTGCTAATCCCATTTTCACTGAACAAGTCTTCTTCTTTAATACACATTTATCCAAATTAAGCTAGACAAAGGAGAAATTGGTTTGTGTACTTCACTTTAACGACAGCGACACCACACGTTTCCTTTCGTTATCAATTCCTTCGACCATAAGTTGTTCTCCCTCGCTCTATTTCCTCACCGGCATCATCATCCTGTGCCACATCCACGATCGTCTGCGTTACTGCGTATGTCTCTTTTATATTTTAGTTTTCATTTTCGCTTAGGCAGACACGCAAATACATGAACATATATGTTGTAGATCTGGTTGAATAATGTTTACTTTCATTCCGTTATGGGTTCGTGTGTGTTGTATTTTGATGATGGTTTATTTGGTTCGATAAATCCAGTTTTGAGATTTGGGTGCTTGAGATCCAGTGGTTTTTCTTATGATGATGAAAAGTTTGGATTATGATTTATGAATGAATTACATCGATGCACGATAATTCTTTATTGCAACTCTAGTTTGCACAGGAGCATCGACTCTGCTTTCTTTGAGACACTTTTGTAATTCACTCAATTAACATTGTGGGTTCCTAATCTGATGGAATCAAATATATTTTTTTACTGTAAACTTGCATCCACATGCATCTCAAGAAACTTCTTTCTGTCTTTACCAAGCTACAAGTGAGTTGTTATACCACATTGAAGGATCTCTTGGGTCTTAGGGTACTGTGACCATAATAACATGTCATGTAGTGTTTTAGTGAAAATTATGCTACAAATTACATGGTATATGGTTCTACAAAACTTCACCTTATCTCTTCTCTTGTTCTGCTTGGGCCAAGTATGATGTTTAACCTCTTTGACCAAGTTCGAATAGTTTTTACTTGTGATACTTGTTAAAATGATGACTTTGTTTTTGGAAGGAGGAAAAAAATGCCTGTAATACTGGCTGGTTCAGCATTCACTAATATCATGTGCTTTATTTTCCTTTTGAAAGAGTAATATGGTCCACATCCAGAGACCATTTGGCTGGCATAAATTTTGGCTTATGAGCCACATTCTTCGGTGAACTAACATTTGTTATTGCCTCGGCTGATAATGAAAAATGTAATACTTAAATTGATCATATTTTTTTCCTGGAATGGATCAAAGAGATATTTTTGTATACTTTTAAGATATCATATCCTTAAATGTATACCTTAAAACTTTTATTAGGCAGTTTCAGTCGCATCATGAACGCATTCATCCACTTTCTGCATTTTGAACCTTACCAAACGGACTTCTTAATTTTACCGTATGAGTTTGATAGCCGTCAACTCACTTTGGTTTACTTTATTATGTTTTTCTGTCCGGTTTGAAGTATTGATGATGCAAAAATTTGCTCAAATTCTTTCAAAATTTGAAATATTCATTATATATATATTCACATTGGATTCATTTATGCTCTCTTCATCAACGAAGCTCTTGTACTAATCAAGTTGAAATGAATCAGGTACTTGAATTGCAAATTTATAAAAAAGTAAAGTTATGTCTTTGGACAGCAAAATATCATCACCTCATAGGAGGACACAGTTACAGACGGCATTTTCAGTCTCACCATCCCTCAAGAAACAAAGCTCTCGAGGCGATGAGCATGAACTCGGGAGTTGTACAACCCTATTCCACCGCCATCGCTTCCTCTTGATCGCCCTCGGCCTTCTGGCGTTCCTTTGTACCATATATCTCTACTTTGCGGTCACCCTCGGGGCCGCTGGCAATGGCACATGTTCTGGATATACTGGCACAGAGAAAGTGGCTTGCCATTTGGAACACGGGAAGGCATTTGCCAAAGGGAAATTGAAGTTCTTCTAGCAATATAATTTGATGGTGGTCTGGGATCAGGTGTACCACCAGATTGTCCGTTGGCTTGATTATTTAAACCGCACACAGTCGGCAAAATACCTGTATTTATTTATCCTCTAAACTAGCATCCGTTTATATTCATTATTATTACTGGAGTATTATTTTTACAAACAAAACAAGACGCCTTAATTTTTCAGTTAACTTGTGGTGGACCTGGTGGTTACCGGTTAATCTATATGAATTTTTATATAAGACTATAAATCATGATTTTTCATTAAACTCTGGATACGTAAAATCATATCCTTCCTTAATTTTCACCAAATGTGTGTTTAACGAGTAAATGCGTTAACTTCCATTCATCAAATCAACGTTAAGTACATGGGTAACAAAATTAGGGGGGAATTCAGTCCAACAAATACAATCAAACAAAGAATATGCAACTTTAGTCAATTCATGCGCCGCTCTGTTCGTTGATCACTTAAAATGAGAAACAGAGATATCAGTAAAACAAGATTGAATCTCTCTAACATCACCGCCAATAACACCTGCCAAAGAAACACTTGACTCCATCAGAATCTCTGACACTGCCCCGGCAAAATCCGGCATTTGGTCTAACTGAAAGCTTCCCGGATCGCTATCAGTTCGGCTTCCGATGGAGACAACACTCCCAGCCAAGCCTTTGAAACATCTGCAATAAAAAACCCAGCATCATCTCTTAAAATCCATCCCACGCCGCACCTACGATCTCTAATTGCCGCATCAACGTTTAATTTGAGTCTACCTCGAGACGGTTTGCTCCAAACCGAGGAAGCCCTCCTGCTCTGGACCAATTGCTCATGTAACGCCTCGGACCTATCCGGACACGTCAACAATCCGTCGTACAATATGAATAGTCAACCGCAGTCTAACTCATCCATATTATACAAGGCGTCTCGAATATCATTCACACATAAGTAATCCATAAACATACATAATAAGTAATTGAATACGCAACGGAAATCATAGTTTGAAAACAAGTGCCACACGGGGCAAACACGAGCACGCAGGCTCCATAATGAAAAACAATATCCATGAGCATGTTTAAATTGTTTTAAAACAGAATGGAGGAAGCACGAACCAAGTCTTCCCTCCGAGATGATCGCCCGATCAACAAGCACAGGTAGCAAGCTCTAGCCTCAACCTGAAATGGTGGTGGGACGCCCCCCGAAAGGGGGTCAGTACTCTATACGGCTATAAAGTACTGGTGTGGATGACATCTAATAGATATACAACAAGTATTTCAAACGCAAGACCCTCAAATAGGGTGATAATATAATCTAGGCCGCAACCCCAAGTTACCCCTTTTCAAAATATACTTACTTTATATATAAAGTCAAGTAGTCGGCCCATGGCCCAAAGTTCGTTTACAAAACATAACCCAAACCCCGTGACCCATAGTCACGACAATACATAGGGTTCAACCCTAACACACATGTTTATATTCCTCGAGTCCAACTCGACTATATCATGATGCACATCATTCACAGGTCAATTACTCCACCAATTTCCGACGTCATGTTCACCCATGCAATTCTAAAGCATCGGGCTCAAGTACATCTCCTTACATGGGCTGAACCAAATCCTTATGTCTACCCAATGCAATTCTAGAGCATCGGGCTCATGTACATCTCCTTGCATTGGCATAGACCCCAATTCCTAAGCACTCACTATGCCTAGAATTGTAATATCAATAATCTATTTCGGGACATCCTTACGGACTGCCTCATCATGATCTTAGCATCACATTACATCAATTTAGTCACTTGAACCACAATCAAGTACATCACTTACAATCAAATCCTTAGATTCAATTCCTTAACAATTACAAACAATCATTAACTAGTATTCCAATACTATTAAGATCATTCCCATCAATCATATATTTCATTTGTAAATCCCTACATATTTAGAAATATGTAGCAGCAACTTAATCATCCAATGTAATACATAAATAATCATTTATGTATCTACACAATTCACACATGAGTAAAAATGCCTATTTCACACAATAGTTCATTTAACACCATTTTTATCAATATGATTTTCAAATCATTTGCAATTTCATTACTTATCTAATATATCAATATTTCATCAATAATCATTCATTATAATATATGAAAACATGATTTAGGCATTTAGGTAATCTCATGCTTAACCTACAAGTTGTAAGCAACTAGATGTCGATCCTCACCTTAAATGAGCTTTAAATTTCTCCTTCTTGATCCAATGGTCAAAGCTTCGGACAAGGTTGATTAAGAACTGATTCCTTGCTTAAATATGAGTGTTAAGCAGCCTTCTCACAGTGCTAGCTCAACCCCTAAACGTCGACACGAAAACAGCCCCTAGAACGGGTATTTTTCGGCGAATTCGTTCCCTAACCTTTCAAGCTTTAGTCTAGGTTAGTATCTAACCTTTCCAACAATTAAAGTTACCTCATAACAACATTTTATACACTTAAACCATTGTATAATAGTTCTTGAATCATTCATAGGATTTAGGCAATAGAAAGGAAGTTTTTGGATTCGAACTTACTTTGAATACCAAAAACGTATTCTGCGAGGATGCGTTCTGTACGGATGATTTGGAAGCCTTAAACTACTCCGTTTGACGCACACCGCACCTCTATGGATTCCTCTTTTCTATAGGTTTCGTTTGGCACCTCACACGCCTCGATTGGATGTGTATTTCTCAAGATACAACGCAAACAGTGAGCTCCACGAACTGGAATGAATCCCTGCGGCCAGCTCTCCTTCTTCTTCCTTTTTCTTAGGTTGTGCGGATCTCCCTTCCTCCTTATCCTTTTAGTTAGAATGGGGGGTGAGGGGAAGGTATTTGGAAGCTATCAAATGCTTATCCTCACATGTGGTTCACAAAAAAAATAGGTAGGGTGTTTGATTCTAATCAAACATGGGATGGTCCTCCTCTTTTATTTCTCTTTTGTATTGTTTGAGCTCTCAACTCAATAGGTCCGCCCCCTTTATGTGTTCTAACTTATCCTACATGTTTTGCAGGTGCTAGGAAGGTGTGGGACGTACTCCCATGTCCCCTAATTAATTTGAGAGCAAAATATCTACCAATACATCCAAAAGTGGAAAGATGGGTCCTATCATTTTTGTCATTTGTCATAAGATGTACTTTTGTACTCTACCCAATTTATTTAGATCAAGTCAACCTTCTACATCATATTATTGGTATCTAATATGTGTAGGGTGGTCCCAATAATTTATTTGATGTATAATTACAAAAGAAAACCCTACTCCTATTATTTAGCCTAATAATGCCAAAGATGAGACCATAGGCATTTGTATTCTTCTCCAATCATTCCATCATTCAATTATGATACTAATATTTATATATCTGGGCTACCAACCGTGTGGGCCACCCTCCAATGGGTCTAGGACGTCATTCTTGACAAATTACTATTTTTAGCAGGTTAGGCCCAAAATAACATTTGGGCTGCTCGACCACACTTACATTGTACCGAGGGGTTGTATATCTTTATTTAAGGATGTTGGGCCCCAATATCAATAATATGGCCCAATTAATTATTTAGGAGTCCATTATTGTTGGGAATATTTTATGGTGTTCAATCTAGTTAGTTATCTTTGTATTTGTGTAGTTATCAATTAATCGTGTAATACGGGCCACAAATGTGTATCAGCCCGTGGGCTTCCTTGTAACCCGTAAGTTAGCCAACTTCTCCTATAAAAGGAGGCTAACTTACGGGAACCCTAACGATCGAAAGAGGCTGAGAGTTCAGAGGCGTAAAGATAGAGAGTAGGGTTGCCGCTGCTCTCCTTCTCCAGGGAGAGCAGCGACCAGTTTACACGGTATACCAGATTCGTATAATATCTACATATCTTTCTATCTGCTTCTTCTATAACTGCTATATGTTGTATGATTGTTAAGTATTCTGGGATTATCAATTGGTATCAGAGCAGAGGCGTGAAACAGGTTGAATGTATCTGCGATTTTCTTGGATCTAACGAAGAATGCTCTGCTTTTCTTCTCTTTTTCTTCATATAGAGTTTTGCTCCTGTAATCTTGTTTGTGAACGAAAATCTGTAAAAATTATACTGTTGGAATCGCCTCTCAAAACCATTTCTACAACATATCTTCTTTTTCATTTTCTGCAAATTTTCATTTTCAAAAAACTCTCCTTGGAAACTCGAGTTTATGCTTTTATATGCCTGCAGAAACGATTTTGACTTGAAACAGATACAGGAGGGATCGCGACCTTCAGGGCTATTCAGAACAGTTTTCAGATTCTCAAAATTCGAAAGTTTTAAAAATCGAGAGTTTTAAACTCGCAGTCATGAACTCGCGGTCTTCAACTCGATGTGTAAACTCGCGGTCTTCAACTCGATGTGTAAACTCGCGGTCTTCAACTCGATGTGTAAACTCGCGGTCTTCAACTCGATGTGTAAACTCGCGGTCTTCAACTCGATGCGTAAACTCGCGGTCTTCAACTCGAGTTGTAAACTCGCGGTCTTCAACTCGAGTTTTAAACCTCGAGTTCTGACCTCGAGTTTAAATCTTGAGTTCTGACCTCGAGTTTAAACCTCGAGTTCTGACCTCGAGTTTTAAACCTCGAGTTCTGACCTCGAGTTTAAACCTCGAGTTCTGACCTCGAGTTTTAAACCTCGAGTTCTGACATCGAGTTTTAAACCTCGAGTTTTTAAAAATTTGAGAGTTTTGGAATTGCGAGTTTTGGAATTTATTTCGAGTTTTAGGAACTCGATGTTTTGGATTTCGACATTCTAAAAAATTTCAGAATTTTCGGAATTTCTCGATGTTTTGAATCTTTCAAAGTTTGCAGTTTCTTGGAACTCATAATTCGAATCTTGACATCCTTTGCAGTTCATCGAAGCTTTACATTATAAGGATCTCTGAATGATTCCCTGCTTATATAAATGTTTCAGGAGTTTTCGATGTTCGGATGTTTTTCAAACAGCAAGTTTTCGAGATTATGAGATTTTTCGAAACTCCAAAGTTTTCGAGGTTCCAAACATTTTGAAATTCTGAAGATTTCGTTATTCTGAGGTCTGTTTTGTAGGTGGATTTCGTCATTACTCTTCAAGGCAAACTCGAAAT